CTTGGAGATCCACGCTTGCGCGACCCCCTTGAGAGTGGTTGGGAAATATTTACACCAAGTCGCTTCGGATCTGGGGCAAAGATGCATATGAGTCTCATACGAGGCAATGTGGTCCTTCGGATCCGAAGTCCCATCATATGTGATGTGCGACGGTATTTTAACCGTGGGCACGTGCTCTTCCAGTATCCATTGCTCGAATGGCGAACTGGCGGGTAGCATAACGGCCTTGCCCTTGTTCCTGGCCGAAGGGACCGCGCTCCGCCCTCTTAGAGAGGTAAGAGTGGTTTTCGTCCCTGGCTGGGAAGTCTGGGCCTCGGCCGCAGGGAACGAGAGGCGACTGTGCACGCTCGGTTCCTTGCCGCCGAGTCGGTCGAGGATGCTTCGGCGAACAGTCTCAGGTTGTTCTCGGTGAGCAGATTCTGGTCGAGAAGCTGAGCTGCTGCTCTTATGCGTTTCTGGTCGGGAGGTTGAGGATCCTTTGAAGAATTGAGGGTTCTTTTTCCTCTCTTTTTCAGTTTTCCAGGTATCCTCTTCCCACTCTTCCAGTTCCCGGAAGGAAGGAAGTTTCCCACCATCTTGGTCTAGCTTCCTCCGCTGATGCCGGGTATGCGGAGGAGTTCGATCACGAGGTGGCGGCATATTTTGTGCCCTCATTGCCTCCATGAGCACTGCCAGCGCTCTTGCCACCTCCTCTGAGCTGGGCCCCGTCAAAAGGGTCCTCGGCTGAGTGTGGGAATGAGAGCGCACAGTCGATGGTTGGCTTTGGGGCACTGAATGTGTCCTATGATCGGACTGACCCCTGCTAGACCGAGAGTGACTCGGCCTATGATGAGAGTTATGAATTACGGGAGAAAGGGAATCCTCCCTGTATGATCCTCCCCCCGAGCTGGCACCCTTGGGAGAGCTCCGGTCCGGTGAGGGTGATGGTGTAGGGGTTTTAGGCTTTTCGCCTGCTCCTTGACGGAGGCCTTTGCTCTTGCGGTTCTTAGCCATTGCTACTAAGATAATTGCAAGATGATCTTGGTTAGAAATTTGGCTTAAAGATTTTTGAAAGTCGTCCCCACAGACGGCGCCAAATTGTTTCGGGTGAAAACAATGGGACCTTGTCGAGGGTCCGATGAAGTGGAGAAGACTGGATTCTGTCCAAGTGATGTTAGGCCGAAGGTTTCCTGCACAGTAAACACACGTAAACTAGCCTTGGGGGTGTTGCCGAGGAAGGCCCCTCCGATGCTTTAGTTAGTACAGTGTGTAGAAAGAGAACACTATGCAAGAGAATTAATTGCTTGAGGCTTTGCTTGAATGAATGTACAAATGTAATATTGATGGCTTTTATACCTTTGCATATATGGAGAAGTTGGGCCTTATCCCAATTGACTTGCCTTGAGGACCGATCTTTGACTTTAGCACATTTGGAGAGTTGAACCTTGACCTTGGGCTTTTAATTGAATCATTTAATGACTAGGCCCAATTGGACTAAATTGGACCCAAACACTTCGTATAATATACCTAATAAACTCAAAATTCAGCCTTAACCAAAACTTATTAATATTGTCACTACAATACAAGTCATTGCCTTAGCAATCCTGTTAGAGTTATGATATCAAGCAATAATAGGGCAAAAATTCCCCGAAAGTATTGTTTAACTAAGTATTAAGTAAAAAATCGACCTCAAAAATAAAGGTTTGAGCAGCATAATCCATTCAATACTCTTTCACGTTCTTTGCTCTCTTACATGAAACGATATTATTATTCAAAGAACAAAAAAAGGAAGAACTAGTGTTGTAGTATGATTTACATCACAAGCTTAAAATTAGCTTACTCTAAATGCACTCTATCAAACTATAAGCTGCTCATCATTTATATATCTAAAACATTGAGGATGCAATTCAATCATACTTTACTGGATCATCTCGGATCGATTCAGTGTTTTCTCTGCGAGATTCATGCTAAGTTGTTGTCGTCGTTGTTGTTGTTATTATTGTTATTATTGTGAGGACGACAATTTCGTAGTTGAGCTAGGAGAACCTTGTTTTCTTCGTTAAGATAAGCAACTTTCTTCATTAACTTGGCATTCTCCCTTAATATATCTTGGTTCTTCCAATATAACTCCATGTTCTTCTTTAATAACATCTTATTCAATGAAGATTTTCTCATCTTCCTGTTACATTTGTATCATTATCATATTAAAGTAACGAATAAATCAACAATTATTAGGATATTATTATAATATATATAAAAAAAAACGTACTAGCTAGACATTAAATTGTATAAAACACTTTGATATATAAATGATAATATAATGAATTAATTACGTACCTCCTTGTGATTAGCCAGTGAATATTGCAGCTTCTCATCTTTCTACGATGATTATAATATAAGATATTAAAAGGGGTTATTTCTTTGATGCTCATACACATAATTAGCATAAAAAATAAACTAAGAGGTAGAAGAAAATAGAAAGAGTTTATACAATATATATATATATTTTTTTTAAAATTTTTGGGCTTAATTTGTTCTATATATTGTGTGCATATATATATATATACGTAGGCTATAGGAGTAATAATTTGGTCTGATTTTGTTGTATATTTATTTTTGTGCCCACTTTATTATGATAGTAATTGTAAACAATGATGGCAATAAAAGTAATGATGATAATAAGCCAGAAAGATGGAAGAAAAATGTGAAGAAGAAGACGACTGATCAAGGAGGTAAAGCAATAGTTGTAGTAGTATCGTTATCCATCTTGGCTTCTTTTAGGACTTAGCATTTATTTTTTATGTCTCTTGAAGACTAGAGTTTACTTTTACTTATTTCATTTTTTGGGATGTGGCAACTTACATACTTCACAACCATAACCATGACAATCATCTAATATTACACAATCACAATTGATTTAAGGTCGATTTTATATTAATTTTTCTTCATCAGATAAATTATGTAGATATGTGGTCATTCCAAATGTTGCCACAAATGTGTATATTATATTATCAAAGTCATACATGTACTATATATACTAATAACCTTATCATATGATGTGACGCCACATCTACTTATGCCTATTTCTAAATTATTTCTAAAGATTGGATAGTTTGGCATGCAACTCATAAGAAGTTGTCAAATATTTCATTATGTCCTATAGTTAATTTGTGGGAAAGCGCGCGAGACCATCTCCCCCTCCTCCTCCGGCCTCCTCCCTTCTATTCTCCACAACAAACAATCCTCTTATTTAATTTGTTCCTTAAAACGAAATACTACATATAACATAAATCACATGAAAATTTTATATTCGAACTTTAATTTAATTTAATCATCATTGATACTATAAGTTAACTAAATAAATTGCATGCATGCATATGCTTGTGAAGTCCATATTAAAAACTACATTGAAATTGGTTTTATTTCAAAAATAGATTTCTATATATAATTTATAAATACTTCTTTAATTCCCGGTCAATATACATCTTTCTTAATTTACTAGTAGCCAATATTAAGAAATTACCATGAAATGGGTTATTTATATTACATTTTCAACGAGTGTCAAAATTTAATTTCATTATTAAGATTTAAGTTGCCCTAAACTTGAGGAGGGTTTAATCCTCTACTTTTACCTTCTTATCAATAATCCTAAGAGCTACATATGTTTATTCAGCCAACGATTTTTCCACAAGTAATATAATAATCAAATCAAATATAGCATAGGGATCCCTATCAAAATTTTCCCAAGGAAGCAAGCAGACAAGATGCATTAAATGGCAAAGGGGTCACAGACTCTTGATCTGAATTTGATTGTATTTGCAGTGAGCAAATTGAATGGCAACCTTCATTTTCATCATCATACTACTTCACATGGACACCCACGCAAGAGGCACGTGTTAACGAAAATGGAGGAAATTCATTCATTGGATTTTGAAGAAGAGATATAATAAGTCAATGTTGTTAGGTTTCTTCTTTTGTCCTTTTTCTTCATGTAATCGATTAGTAAAAGCTCATGTACGTTACTTTTGTATAATTTTGGAAAATGAATATATTCGCACCATACGATTATCTTTTTACTTTTCTGACGTCCATTATGTAATTCATCATCATTTTAGTTGAAAAACTAACGGTTGAATAGTTGCATGTAATCAATACAATGACTTCCTACTAAAATAGCTTTATAGCTTTTAGCGAGCCTCTTAACTAATTCCCTACGTTTTTAGGTACGTATGTTACTCAAATTCGGTTACTCTTGTCAGATATAGTACATGTCCAAGTGTCTAACTTAATAATTTTGTGAAAATAATTTGTGATTTTGGTCCAAAATAGAGTGTTAAAGTGTCCATATCTTTAAAAGAATGTCGAAATCTTTTTAGAGTGCTAGAGGTAAAATAAAGAATTATAGACGTACTCCTTGTAACATAAGGTAGATAAAGATACTATTTTGGGGGTATTTTCAGACGTTCTGCCTTTTTGTCATACAACATCCATGAGGGCAATAATTTTCATTGAAGAAAATCAGTTGCAATCCACAATTGGATATATTATATAGACATATGTAGCATTAATACTAATTAATGTACGAAATAATTGCCAAGGCCTACTTCAATACATTCTTGTTAAGACCAGTATAATTGCTACGCGTTAATGATTCATTTGTCATAACTATTGATAGGTGTAGACCATGTAGTACTAGTTTTGGTTTTCATTAATATGAGGGACCATATATATTATTTGGCAAATGGGGTAGAAATTTCATAACAAAATATTAGTCTCAAGTTCCTTATTTTGGATAAGCGGGCTATAAATGAGGATGCTAACTAGCTTAATTTGTAAAGTCTTAAAGGCGGTACCTAAGATATGACAGTATCATAAAAAACTTTCCGGCTCTCTATAGTCTCAACAAAAGGTACGACTTTGATATTCAGCAATGGCATAATGAAGGCAGAAGGATTTCCTGATTTTCTCCACCACCATCATATTCAAGTACACAAGATATTGACAAATGCACCAAATTGAACGAACCAAATGTAGCAGCATCAAAGGCCAAATTCATATCAATTACCGTTAGATTGGATTGTACTAATCCCTTACAGGCTCAACTGAGTAAACTCATTATAAATCCTAAGAATCCTAAACTAGTTACAACAACAAATATAAGTGCCAACATCTTCCTCAGATAAATAAAAATTAAAAATTGTAACCACTCTGCTCCTAAACAAATAAAAGTGGGACTAAAGACACCTCTTTCCCTAAATAATTACAGCTTATACACTATATTTACACTTATTTTTCCTGTAACTCACCAATCAGCAATGACTAATTGAACAAGAAAAGAGATTAAGATGGGAAGAAGAAAACGGGAAACGAAAATATGACCCTAATAATTATCCCACAGAGTCTTCCTGGGTATCATCATCGTCTTCATCCATTTCATCGTCTTCACTTTTATTAGCTTGGTCATGAGCCTGTGTTTCATCATCTGATTCTGACCCATCATCTGCATCTACAATTTTACTAGCTTCAACGCATTCATCATCAGTTTCCGATTCAGAGTCAGAAACTTTGGCATTGTTTTCTTGAGAACTATTACCGACAGAACTCTTGAACTGCTCCTTTACATCAGGTGCCATGATTCCAATCATATTACTCAATGCTTGAATTTCTTGGTCTGAATGCATTGTCCTAGTAAGAGCACCAGAGGGTAAACTTTGAGACTCAGCCACCTGAGTAATGGAATCATTTGTAACTGCTTGATTTTCTCTCTCGTTGTGAGGAGATTCATTGTCTCCATATAAAGAAGGGTCCGTACTACAAGCCCAGCTACCAGCAACTTCTGATGCCAAAAGATCTTCTGTTCCGATGCCTCCAGGTTTTGCATCCTCAGTAGCCTTCACTGCTTCCTCTCTGTCATTCAAGAGAGAGTCCTGAAGATTGTCTTCACACCTATGAGGGATCTGCTGCTCAGTTTCTTGCACATTTGTGTCCTCATCAAGCTGCATTGTGTCCCCAGCAAGATCACCAGTTTTATTCATTTCTGTCTTTCTTTCACCATCAGCACCAGGGCTTTCAGTTTCAAGAACTCGCTCAGTTCCATCACCATCACCTTCAAACATGGGAGCTGTTCCAACACCATCAATGTCAGACCCAAACCCAGCTTTAACCATGCCCTCATTAATGGGAAATTCAGCTTCTTGGGTATCTTCATCATCTTGGTTTCTATTATCACAGTCATGCTTCTCAGTGGCGCTACCTTCTTCGCTGGAAGTCTCAGCCACTCCACCTTGTTCATGTCTCTTCGCTGAATTGCTAGGGCCGGCCTTAGCAGCAGCATTAGTTCTGTTACTTGTAGCTTCAATTCCAGCAGCTGCATTTCCATCATCGTTCTCCTCTGCTGTATGGCGGAGAACATCTAGAGAGGCATTGTCATAATCCTCCTCATCTACTAGAGCTCTCTGCATTGACTTTAATTGTTCTTGCTGCTTTGTGAACAGCAATTTGATCTCTTCTGTCGTCGAGTAAAAGGCACGCAGCTGTGTTTCCCTGCATGGAGAACATGTGCTTGGGATGAAAGTTCAAAGATGATGTATATCAAGTAAATTCAATTCTAAAATAAATTAAGCTTCATCTAGAAAGCATCATTTCGCATGGATTATGCAAGCACTACACAACCAAAATGTTGTTACAAGTTCAAATATATAAGAAGCCTGTAATGTGTGCAATCATAAAATATATCAGAAAGCACAGAGATGACTCGAATGATTATCACTGATAAATTTTAATAATCGAAAGCAGGTTGACTTTCCAGAATATTAGCTGCCACTCAGATTGACGAAATAAAAGCCCCAAGGAACTTTAATGAAAAATGCATACTCTCTACTGAATGACTCCTGAGGTGCCAGGGACACATCAAAGTACAACTAAACTTTCCAATTTATAGTTGATATATACTATGAAATCGTCCAGGGACATAAGCATGCACAATCAGAACAGCTTCACTGTAAACTTATGCAACAAAACAGAATATTCGTTAAAGTTCGCGAAACATACAAGACACAACAACACAGCCGTGCCATATACTACATATCTACTACGTATAATCTACCATATGGAAGTGACAAGACAAGAGAAAATAACCAAAATAATTACTAATACAAACACAAATTGGTGAAGTTCAGTTTTAATTCATATCATCATAGAGTATGTATCAAAATAAATTCAACTTTCATGGAACTATTACTTGCACAGGAAAAAGTCTAACAGACCAATGCCTAAGATTCAAGATCTTACCGCAGCATGATTCTTTCCCGAGCACCCTTTAACCTTCGTCTTTCAAATTCAAGATCCCGCATAGCAGCATTTATTTCTAGCTCAAGTTCGGAGACCTTGGCCCATGCTTCTTCCCGAGCTGCCTGCTACCACCATCAAAATAACACCTTTTTATATAAGCAATATAAACATACTTGGTTTTCACTACTGTTCATATGCATTGATAAGCTCAAATCATCCATTGAAATCTAACCTTTTGCATTTTTGTGGGTAGTTATTCAAAATAAACAAAAAAACAGGTGGTAAAATCAAAATTTGTGTTATGAGGGGTGGTTATTTACAATTTTTCCCAGATATAATGCATAGTTATTGACCCAAAACTGATGGATGACCAGTCACCAGATTGCCAACTGTCACATAGTAACTAAATTCAAGCTCAAACATAGCCATTAATTATGAAGCCCCAATATTTGAGATGAGCCAATGTGCACAACTAATGAATAGAAACATAGTGACTAAAACTTTGTTCGGATTGAAAAACATTGAAGGGAAAGGAAGAGAGGAGAAAAGAAGGCTCCCTTGTTTGGATACTATTTGATAAGAGGGAAGGGAAGGGAAGGGAAATAGAGGGAATCATATTCCCTCCCTCTTTAATGTTAGAAAGAATTGGAGGGGAAAATGAAATCTTACCTTCTCCCTCCCCTTCCTTCTTCTTCTCTCCCTTCCCTTTCCTTTCCACTTTGCTATCCAAACAAACCATAAATGAGCTAAATCAGAAGCAGAAACCACCATAAAGATTAACCAGTCCCGATCTTCACCCCCTGTCTTTTCTCCATACAATATCAAGTAAAAAGGACAGAATGAAAACGAAGGAAAAGAGAGAGAGAGACGTAAAGTTTCCCCTTGTACCTTTTCTTTGTCAAGCTCTTTCCTCATGCTTCTCGTTTCAACTTCAAGTTCCTCCACTCGCTAAACAAGTGCAAAAGGAAAAATAATCAGCTAATAAAAAATAAATATCAACATCAATTTGCATTACAATGTGACAGAGACAGACAAAGTTGGAGATTGCCCAATAAAACACATACTTTTTTTCTGAAAGCAGAGGACTTTTGTTCGTTTGATACTTGAACCTCAAGTTGGCGAACTCTATTGTCAGATAAGACCAACTTCTGTCTAGTTTCCTCCTGTCATGACCCAAGTTGTAAATAAAGTAAGATGTAATTACTGCTCAAAAGGACCCCTATCCCTTCCCCAGTCACCACTCCCTCCCAAAAAAAGGTATTATCAGATTTATCACTTTATGGCCAATTTCTCCTATCGAGAATACAAACTTCAAAGACACCCATACCAATTTGGATCTCAGACTCTCCACCAGTGATGAATTCTCTCTTTCTGCTTCCTGATAATAAAAACAAAACAAGTTCATCATCTATTGTTTAAAACTACAGATGAAACAGAAGTTACCAAAAAAATAAAATTCATGGCAACCTGAAGTTTACTAATAATTTCTTGTTGTTCTCTTTCTCGCCTCGAAGCAGCATCTGATACTCGTTTTAATTCTTCTTCAGCCTCAGACTGAACCCTTTGAATTGAAGCTTTCAGATCTGCAACAGCCTTTTCTCGCTCTTCTCTTCTCTGGTCACGCTCTTCATCTAGCCGTGTTTTCAGTTCAGCTATAGTTGCCTTTTGGCTGCAACAAACAAATCACAAAAGGGTTACCTTCCGCCTTGGGAAATTATTCAGAGTTGCACATCACTCTTTCAGAATACAAGTTACATCATTCCAGATGCAAACCAATTAACCAACTCTAACATCACAGCATCAAAATAAACCTTGAAATCCAGGTACAACTCTGATGTCGAGCTTTATAGAATAATAGAAATTTTGGGAATATTTAGATCTTCAGAACCACACATACACAAAAGAAAGCAGAGTCCAGGCAAAATAACTGCAGCATCAAGAGGGATTCTTGGCAACCAGCAGTTACTGGCCATTGCACCAAAATTTTAGTCATTCAATTTTAGATCTAAAATCCTGCCAAAAGTACTATACCTTTTCACTATTTCATTTGTTTCAGTAGATGACTGCAAAGCAGCAGAAAGTCTTTCATTTAGATCTTCAACAGCATGCTTTTGTTCAGCAAAACTTTTATTGACCTCAGTCAATTCCTTCTTTGTAGATTCCAATGACACATTTAGTTCATTCAGTTGATCATCATAAGACTTTGAAACAGACACTTTGAGATCTTTCATCTCCTACAGGATCCAACAAAAAAAACATTAAGCGATACTTATAAAACGAAAAATGATATATAAAGCCCAAAGGACAGCAAACAATAATAAGCAAAATAAAACAATAATTAAAGCAATCGACTTCTGCTATGCATTACTAAATCAATACCAATTTAGGATAGATATTAAATGCTTATTTGCAGCCCTAAGGGCTGCATATATCATTAACCTTATAAAATGTACCAAAAAAGGAATAATAAAGCTAAAAAGATAATTAACTACAATGAGAAGGGCATAAGCATGATAACCATCTAAGATAGATGTGCATGAATACAGAAAAAATGTATGACGTGAGAAAGCTAATTTGCAGTCTCCTACTCTCCCCACCTTCATCCATACCAAGAATAATTAAAGTCAATCTAGATGAGATTCATGCAAAAAGGACCAAGAATGGACAAAAACATCTTATGATACATACATGCAATATTTTTAGGAGAAAAGAGGTATGCAGAGAAAAAACAGCCCATTTTAGTACTGTGGAAATTACTACTCTCTTCTCACAATTAGGACATCGCTCACAGATACATGGTCACCTTGGTTCAATTTGTTTTTTTTCAACAGAATCTACACTCTATTCCCATCTTTCTGCACACACCATCCCCAGTGTAGAAACAAAGACATTCAGCCTGCTACACGTTCAAATTCTACAGTTCCACAAGCCAAACAATACCTAGTAAGAGATAAATTGGGAAACATAGAGCATACATTTTGATGACGTTCAAGTACTTCACGATTTTCATTCCGCAATGCATCAATTGTAAGTACATGATCTTCCAATTGCTTTCTCAAGTCCTGCAGAAACCAAATCCATAAGGATATAAGGTCTTCCATCCCAAGGAAAAAAAAAAAAAAAAAACATGTAAAGTATGCATGTTACATATAGCTCTTAGCTAATTTTAATTTCAGACAAAGATGTAAATTGTATCTGGCGATACCGTATTTGAACGTTGAAGGCTTCGAAAGTCATCAAGAGAAACAGGACCCTCAGTAGCGCCAATACCAATGCCTTTAAGTCTTTTGGTTTCGGGACCAAACTCCTCTGGAAAACAAATGCAAGTAACATACTTCATATCCAAGCACCCTAGAAACTTAATTTATAATTACTGATCCACCATCCGTGGAGAATGGATAGAGACTTTACAAAAACTAGCACCTATTTTGCATGGGTGCATAGTTTATGTTGACAAGTGAAGAGAGCATATCTAATTATTATTTTTTTTTTTAAAAAAAAAAGAGTAATAACTAATACCTGCTTTTCTCTTCGATACGGTACCATCAGATGAAGGGACGGATGATGAGACTTCTCGATAAACAAATGCAAATGCATGCTCTACAGCCAAAACCACAAATCAGAGATGTTAGAAGTGAAATTCAGGACATATTTACCAATTCAAGGACTGAAGTGCAACGCTTGATCGAAGTAACTGCAGAGTACATATATATCATCTACAAGCAATACAATACCATGCTGAGGAGGAGCTGCTAGTGATATGATATCACCATGACAAAGCTTAGCTTCAAACTTAGAGCTGCCTCGCTTCAATCTCTCCCAGTTCAGATAAGATCCATTGGTGCTGACAAGGTTCAAGATTTTTAAGTCAGAATTCATTAACCTTCACAATCTCACATGATATACTAGTACAATCTTTCTCAATACATTCATATACTAAGAGCCTTTGCAGTTTACACATTTAAATAAAGTGTCCGGGCATCACTAGAAATATGAGGTATATATTTTTATAACATCAAATGCCTGTCTTCGAAAAAAGAAAAACCTTGTATCTTTTAGAAAGGCGGCATTGCAGAAACCAGAAGGATTCTCAACGTCTTCCTTGGGAACTCTTTTCCTAGAGATTGCACAATGTCGTTGACTAACTGCATTTGAGTCTATATGAAAACGCACATCATCTACTACTCGTCCAATGCAATGCTCATCGGCGGTTAATAAAATATTTATTCCCTGTTCATAGACATTCCATTAATCAGCTAAACGTTGGATTAAAAATTCAAAAAATAATAAATACCAGGACTTGATTTTACAGTGAACCGTAAATATGACCACAAAAACACGTCAGAAAGTAAAGGAAAAAAACTGACATGTTAAAATAATATAGGTCAACAATGGTAGAAGAATAATTATACAAGTTGTGGCATATCGCACAAAATTAATTTCTTTTTTACATGTATGGGAAACTTACAATATAAGAAGGCCTTGTTCAGCGTAGGCGCTTAGCTACAGTTTTTTCAACTCTTAACTCACTTTATGAGTGTATTGCCAATGCAAAAAGAACCTTTATGGGTACATAAAATGCACACATCTCATAATTAAGGATTTAACAGTTTTATTTATTGTGAATTACAACTACCTCTTCAAAAGTGGTGTATACTTGATCCTTTTTTCATCTCTCAATTTAACATGGGGCAGTCTAAGGAGATCCATTATCAGTAATTACTAAATTTGGAAAGGTGATGGCTTTTCCCAATGAAAGAAGCATGAGGATGAAGGTGGAGTGAATGGATGGCAAACATCTCTAAGGACTCTAACTAAATATAGCAACAACATGCTAAGACAGTTATCATACTGAGGAAATCAGTTTCTATCCCTACCCCTTGTAACTTACAAAATTAAAAACACTTTCTCGTTTGATTAAGGAAGGATTACTTAGAAAGGAAGACTTCGCCTCGTCAACCCTAACCTTTCTCTGTCTCTTGAAGAATCCTGTAAATTTTAAAATCATTTAAGAGCACCTCATCCTCAACATTTGCATTTCCTGTGATACATATTACATAAACCAAAAAATTAGTCTACTCCAAAACCCAATCCACCTTGGAGTCACTATGTCAATAATCTGACTAAAGATTGTCAATGATTGTAAAGCCCTTAATTGACAATTTTAGATGCAGTTACATCAAAGATCTCACCCTAATTCCCAAATGAAAAAGAAGAGTGTGCCCCTTCCTTTTTCCATACTTTATCAACAATTTTCTATACGAAAGGTTCTCTAAGGCATGATGGATGCCGCCCCATCTTTTTCACAGCTCATAATCAATCTCATTTAGGTTTTCTAAAATAGTTCCTGTTTAAAATTCCACATCATTAACCATCAGTAAAGAACACTTATACCTATATTATCTTCTTCATCATTGGTCACAACATGCGCCAGTAATGTTCTCCAAATTAGTTCCTCTTCAAAATAAATCGCGACATCCACTCACCCTTCCCCTCAAATAAACAGCACTCAAACTTTTACAACCAATGCTATTGTTCCAACATTAGTTCCTTTCATATATTCAGTGTCATCTTTTTCCACCTGCAAACAACATTCAAAATCCAGGCTCTACCCAAAGTGTTACTCTCATAGTCCATTTCGTAAAAGGAATGATAATACGAGTTGTGAATTATAAAGCACAGAACATCCCACATTGATATCTGAAGTAATTAATCTCACCCACAAACACCCATTACCATCTCTATAGGTAGTAGTAAAAATCAATTATCAACAAAGGGAAAAACAATACATCTTTGCAAGTGAAAATGCAATACTCGGAACATCCTAGTTCAAATTACACACAAATTCATACCTTTTTCTCAGTACAAAAACAAAACCCTTGCAATTTGCCAATTTGCATACAAAAAATCATAAATCGATTACTACCTGAGACCGCTTACGAGCATTGTTCGAAATAGCGGTAAGAACACCCCAAACATCAGGATCAGAACAAGGGAGAGGCTGTGCAGCGATTTTGGAAGCGACGGCGATAATGGCGTCTTTAGGGGTAACAGGTTTAACCGAAGAAGGTTCATCTTTGGGTTGACAAGAGCTAGATTGAGATACAATCAGACCTTCTTCTACCTTTCTAGGGCTCGGATTTTGATCCGGCGTAACTTGAATTCCTGGCCTCCTTTCCTCCACAATCGCCATTGAAATCCACTGTAAGCTTTAGCGAAACCCTAATTTGCAAATTTGGGGAAAAAATTAGGGAATGTGAATAGAAAATTAGTACAAAAACAAGAGAGGAAATAGGGTGTTGCTGAAAGTAGTGTATGTAACCCTTGAAGTGAACATGAATTATCTGCGCTTTAAGAGGGTGAAGGAGGAAGTGACAATCGTACGCTGAAAGTTTGATGATAGAGAAAATACCCGCCAAATAATTTTCTACCGGCGGGCCCCACCTAACTAAACTAACTTTATGAAATTACGTGATTGTATTGTTAGGGGTGTACACAGGTCCAAAATCGAGTTGGAATTAACAAGAATCTTTTGAACCACAAGGATGAATTTTTCATTATGTTGGACTGAGGTTCAGATCGGATTTTTGGGTTTGGTTTGATTTTGTATTGTTAGATTTATTCTTTCTAAATAAAAATTATACCGTATTTTGTTATACTCTCTTTGTTTTTGTAAGCGTTACATTGAAAAACACAAATGTTTAAAAAAGATGGATTTACATAAACTTATTGTGTGGCGGAAGTTTTTTGGAAAGACTTCATCTCACACATGCTAATTCTTATATTTTTTTTTTTTTCTGTCTCTTCCTTCCTACCTGATTTTTTTTTCTATCTCCTCTTTTCTTTTCTCTTTTTGGATCATTCATCAATTTTTCTCCTCTTCAAGCTTTTTTCTACAAATTCTCTCTCCTTCATCTCTCTTTTTCTTTCAATTTTACAGGTTAATTTATGTCGATTTTTTTTTCTATTTATTTGGTTATTGTTGTTGTTTGATTTTTCTTTGTTATTGAAAATTGTTTTCATTTTTGCAGAGTTAAGTGAGGTCAGATAATGGTTGGGAATAAGTCGATCAAGAAGAAAATAAATCCAGTTTATTTAATCGTAATTCAAAATAATAGTGGAGGTAATTTTGTTATTTCTATGTCTTTGTTACCTAATTTTTTAATTTATTTGATGTATTTCAATCAACTAGGTCTTGTGTCCTACTATTTCTATTTTTTTATTTTAATTTTCTTTAATTTCTAGTGTTCTTGTGCTCTGATATTCATTATGTTATGATTTTGATCTTATTTACAATATATTTGGGAATTTCAATTAATTATAGTCTAATCTCCAATTCTAAGCTTATAACCTAGCTTTAAATTTTTAGAAGCAACTCAACCGGAGCTTGCATTTCCGACTTTTATGATTTGTTTGATAGCATGTATCATACACCTTCACTGCATTTACTATGCATGCTATTATTGTGCTAATAGCTTATGCTTGATATACCAGCTAGCATTAATCAAAAATCAAATTTTAAAGCATATGCATTAGCAGCAAGCAAACTTCGTTGTCAGAATTTGATTAGTTAAATCCATTTAAAATTATGGCAATTGATATTGTTGCTTGATTGTAGAGATATAAATTATATTGCGTTGTTTGATGGAGGACATTGTCTCGTCCTTGTGCATTTTCCTTTGTTAGATTATCACTTTTGTATAAGTTTAATTTGAAGAGTCCCTTAGGGATTGATAAGTTTAATTTTGTTGTATCTAGGGTGACTTTTGTGAGGGCTGACATTAGAGTTACTCTTTAGTATAACATTTTTGCATTTAAAGTGTATTGAGCTATTATCATACTGTTAATATATCTTTGTGCTAGTAGAAGAGATAAGGGAATGACGATCGAAACTACTACCAAGCAACTTGATGGAAACATAGTCAATGAATGCTATCTCTCCCCCTCTCCCTATGAGAATACTATGTCAATTTCCTTAAATATGTGACTGTATTGCCATTGTTTATGATAAAAATGAAAAGTGTTTAATTTCAAGGCTATTAGCTCAAATGGTAGAGCAATGTGCTATAGGGTACATGGTGTAGGTTCAAGCCCTACATAACCCTACATAATACATTAATGGTGTGATATTGGTCATTCTTATAACTTGTAACAAGCGTAGCGCTCTTGGTTAGGATCAGTTAAGTGCTTTTGATAAGGGTTACTTTTGCCTTAATTTGGGCCACTTTCATCCTTAAGGTCACTTTTGTTCTTGTTAGGGTAACTTTTGTCCATGGTTAGGGTCACTTTTGCCTTAATTAGGGCCACTTTTAGCCTTAAGTAAAGTCATTTTTGTTCTCGTTAGGGTAACTTTTATCCTTGATTAGGGTCACTTTTGCCTTAATTAGGGTCACTTTTAAACTTAAGTAAGGTCATTTTCGTTCTCGTTAGAGTAACTTTTATCCTTGGTTAGGGTCACTTTTAGCTTTAAGTAAAGTCATTTTTGTTCTCGTTAGGGTAACTTTAATCCTTGGATAGGGTCACTTTTGCCTTAGTTAGGGTCACTTTCACAATTAAGTAAGGTCACTTTTGTTCTTATCAAGGTCACTTTCACCCTTAAATATGATCACTTTTGTTCTTGTTAGGATAATTTTTGTTCTTAGTTAGGATCACTTTTGCCTTAATTAGGGTCACTTTCACCCTTAAGGTTACTTTTGTTTAATGTAACTTTTGTTCTTGGTTAGTGTCACTTTTGTCATTGGTTAGAATCACTTTTGCCTTATTTAGGGTCACTTTTATCCAAAATGGTTTAAAGTAATCTATATTGTTTGAATGCTAGCTAGGTAGTTGGTTCAAGAAAGTTAATAGCCTATGTAGGATTCGAACCTACATCCTCTGTGCGACAGAGTGCTCGACCAATTGAACTAATAGGCTATAAGACAACACTAAATTTATACTTCATATAAAGTAGTCTGAAACTTGCAGACTAAATTGAACTAGTTTATTATTTACTGCACATCAAATCAAGCAATATAAAAAAGCAAATTGGCAAAATGAAAATTGCAAAAATTTGATGCAGCAATGCTTCCGAGACAAACTAATGATTTCAAGTAGTTCTATAATACAAAAATCAACATTATTTTAGTATTAATTCAATCCCACCCACTGTTCAAAGACTAGTTGCAAATTTATTCAACCAGCCATATAAACAATTCTTTAAGCAAGCCTTCAATAATAAATTCACAATTTCATATACGTAGTAGATTATAGTTAATAAAAAGTCAAAATTAACACCTAAACACTATGTTTATAATGGTATAATCATTAATCTCAGATTCTCAGACTCCTGAATTTTGTTAGTTTATCAATTATCACCCCTAAATTGCTGCTTTAGGTATTTCTACACATATTACATCAAATGCATTATTAATTTCAATTTATCAAAAGATTGATTATGGAAAAGTTACCAGTTGATGTACTTGATTTACTTATTTTCTCTTATATTTCTTTAGTTGCAAGATCGAGGAATATTCATTCAGAATGTTAGTAAACGAAATATGAAAAGTATATTACCTAGAATTAACAAATTAGCATAAGAAATTCAATTATAAACGAAAAATGAAGAGTATATTACCTAGGTTTTGATTTCCCCCAAATTGTGAACTCGAATTTCTGTCTTCATCATCAATCCTCCTATCCGAAGCAATCCTCTTCAATTGTATTGTTTAAATCGATTTCCAGTCCATTTTTCAATTGATTTCCCAATATTGGAGATTGAATATGTCGTTGCCACTTGCCAATGTAAAAATCGTTGTATCGATTTTTTACAATTTGAGAAATTGAATGCACGCTTGTTGTTTGTGTTAGGTTTTCAGCAATTCTACACAATAAGAATTACTTAAAGATGGTGGAACAAAACCCAAGCAGTGTATAAATAATGTTTAATTATACAACAATCAATACTAATCAAAGTATTACAAACCAAACACCAATGTCAAAGTAATTCAGAAATTACAAAGAAAACACTAATGTGAAAAATTATACACTTGCCTCACTCCAAGCCAAAGAAACCACCAAGAACATGAGAATACCAAGGACCACGTGAGTCTTCAATACCGGATACTTGTCTAAGGCGTGTAAACACTTTCCTAAAGTGATTATTTCCCCACCACGGTGCTTGGGTTGAAACTGGAAAATCACTTTCAGATACAATAGACAACACTACAATCTTTGCACTAAGATTTGTAGCAAGATGATCAAATTCTCAAAGATTAACTTAATTGATAAAGTTTTCTAAAAGAGATTGCAAGTTTCTTAGAGAAAATTGTGAAGAAGAGTGAAAAACTTAGAGAGGAAAAACAGAGAGAGCAAAAAACCTTATCAGTTATTCTTTTAATTTCGCAATTAAAAGAACAATCGAAACCGCAACTGCCAGGGCCGCGGGCGCGGCATCCAGTAGGAGCGGGCGCTCCTCATGGCCCCGCGGGCGCGGACAGGGAAATCCCAGATTTCACCCAACTTTCTGGAGATGCCCGGCCGCGCCCATGCCGCGGGCGCGGCTCATAAAGCCACGAGCACGGCTTTTCGTGGCTTCCCAGCCGCGGCCTCTCCATTAAAGGAAAGGGCTCTCTTCTACCACACTCTAAATTTCTAACAGTTTGATGATTTGTAATTCTTTCTGCCATGGTTGATTGAAACTCGTAGATCATAGGGTTTTTTTTCCTTTATCAATGGTGGATTTTTCCACATTCTCCTCCATTGTTGCTAGGTTTCGAACCCTCTCTTTCCTCAGCTTTGTGGTCTATCTGAAATTTTTAACTTATCTCTACTATTCACACGTGCCAAAACCGGATTTACATTAAAGTTAAATGTAAACCGAGTGCATGTAAAAACTTTTGACTTAAGAAATGTGATAATTTTTGTAAAGTATTGCACTTCCTTTTTTGGCAAAATAAATTGCATTTTATTAGGAGCAATTTCCCTAAAAAAAAAAAAGCCCAAAAATTGAAAAATATCAAAATTCTTAAATTAAGTTTTTTTTTTTAATTACTCTGTATTTTCTACTTTATTGTCGACGTCAGCATAGACATTTATTTTTGGTTGTAAAAGAGAGAGGCAAACCCCTAAGAAAGACAAAAGGCAAACCGAAAACAACGAAATCAAACAATAGTCACTTTACCCAAATCCTCCAACAAAACGATCTAAAAATTTAGTGAAATGCTAAATACCGCTATCCAAATTTATCGCCACCGCCATCATTTCAAGCAAACTGACAATCATGCCCTTACTAAACCCTAACCCATTTTCCACCCTTATTTTTTTTTCTCTCTCCTCAAACATCAACCACCCACCTTTTTTATCATACAACCTCCACAACCACATATTTGGGGTTTACCAGAAAGCAATTGGCAGCGCGACCTCAGGCAGTGGAGGCGGCAGCGGAATGGGTGGAATGGAGGTAAGTAGTTTCCGTTTTTTTTTTTTTTTATGCAATAAGTGGCCATGGTAACCGGAGCCCAAAATCGGTTACCGTCCACGGTAACCGGAGGTTAAAACCTGTTATCCTGGAGCTCCGGTTGACCTCCGGTTCGTTTTCCGTCGAGCCACCTTGATCACCATCCATTTCTCGTCGACTTTCACCGTCGTTGTGGCTGTCTGGTGTAGAAGGTGGTGGTTGACACAGTTGTGGTTGATGGACTAATGTTAGAGAAAGAAAATGGGAAAAAAAGTTAGTAAGGGCAAGATTGTCAGTTTGCTTGAAATGATGGCGGTGGCGATAAATTTGGATGACGGTATTTAACACTCCCAAAATTTATCATATTTGTATTTATGACTCCGTAGTATTTATTTTACTGGTTCATATTAAATTAGCGATACTATCTAGAAATTATAAACATGTGTTGCTTTTGCAACAAAGTTTGGTTTGAGGAGAGAATTCCCAAGGTTTCTCCTTGGGAGGGTTTTTTTAGTTCCCTCTAGGGTTTTCCGTTTTTCTAGCCTTTATTGCTAGGTTTTTTCAGTTTTTTTTTAAGGTTTTCCTTCACCCTTCTCTCTTATTCTCTTTCATCTCTTTTCTTCCTGATCTCAATTGTGAATCTTGTTAGGAGCTTCCACTGGTATTTTTATCGGTGGTAAGCACCAAAAACTTTTTAAGTGCTTTCAATAAATTGATCCCATCTTTAAGATGGTGGTTATTCTATTAGGTTTAATTTCTTTGTTTGTTCGTCTAGCGAGGATTGAAGATCTAGTATTTTATAATTTCTGAAATCTAGAAGACCATATAAGTATTATCACACAAACAACTCTGCATCAGTGGATTTCAAGCCGAATTAGTGCTAACTCACATATTGTATTGCTTCGTATGAGGTTTTATATTAAGGCGATTGTTGATCGAATCTACAATGTTATTAGTTCTAAGATGATATGTATTTGTGTTAAAATTTTAGATTTCTTCGAAATTATTTGTAAGTGCCGTTTGGCTATCTTTTATTAATGAAATTTCCTATTTCTTTCTGTTAAACAAAAAAAGTTTGGTTTGAGACCTAACCCCTATGACACAGAACACATATAACGTAACTTTAGAAAGGGAGATTGGGAAACTGTTCCCGCAGTTCTTCAGAGTTCAAACTCTAGGTAATAATTTTCTCCAACAGCTTTCACTTTCTTGTACTTGTTGATTTACTAGTATTTCGATTGCTTTAATTTCTGGGCATGAAATCCACATTATTTTATTAGAATAGTGAAATTCTTGATTTGCTTATACTAAAGTGGAAACCTTATTGATTTATTTTCATTAGTAAATGTCCGCACTCCTTTTCTCACTGTCAATGGAGTAGATTGTTTGTTTTTCATAAATCCCGACACAAAGGGCAATAATGTAGACGAGATTAAAAAGCGCTTAAATTTAAGGTGTTCTTATAGTTGTGAATCTAATTAGCACTCATTAATTCAGATTTTTTTTTTCTATTGAATTCCTAAATTTTTGTGTATGGCTAAATCTGCTGGTTATGTGTAGTTGAGTTATTATGTTATTAGTGATTTTTCTTGTTAGTATGGAGTATAATTCTGCTATAAAATTTGAATCTTTTTTATATTTGCTATGATTTGCTTATCAATTTCTGTAATTTGCTATATTTGAACCTTCTAGGGTTTGCGAAGTATAGGGAAATTGTGAGGGTGATAGTGTTAAGTTTGCCCAGTTGAAGTGCTTGTCTAACAAGACTGAAACTAATCAGTCAATTAATCAATCGAAGCCTTAATCCCATAAGTGGGGTCGGCTACAGGAACCAAAAATGATTATTCCGTATAGTCATCCACAAAAATCTTCCTCCTCCATCCCTTACGATCAAATACTTCATTCTCATACAAATCCAAATGCTTCATATCTTTCCTCACTCCTTCCAACCAAGTCATTTTCGGTCTCCCTCTACCTCGTTTAACCTCTCCATGCTCCTACTCTTCCACTCTTCGTACCGGTGCACCCTGGGATCTCCGTCTTACATGCCCGAACCAACACAAACGATTTTCCCTTAGTTATTTTGCAATGCCTGCAACACCCACCTTCTTGCGAATAACTTCAATTCTGATTCTATCTAATAGACGATTCCTGATTATTGAAAATTTATTTTGCATACTTTGTTTAGTTGATGAATTGTATTTGATATATTGTTGGCCTATATATGTAGCAGGCTTATATTTCCGTAGATAAACAATTATTGAAGAGGGTCACTCTTTAGGCAAGATTGAATCTTTGTTAAGGGTAGTGAGGGCTAGTTGGTTGGTTGCAACTCGAAAAGTTGAAGCCAATTTTGCTAGATTATCTAATTGTATCTGCCAACTTTGTATTGTTGGCACTCAGTGCTGGAATACAAACGATGTGTGTTGATAAAGATATTGCTTCGTATTTGCTATTATGAAAGAGTTTTTGTAGCAACGATGGGGTAGTTGCAAATGAGAGTTCAATAAGATGGTTGCTGTCAGATCATCAGTCGATAGAATATACGTAGTATAAGGTCATATGAACCAATATCAGATTATAGGAAGTGTTCATTTTATCATTTTAGAAAGTGAAAACATGTTAGTTGTAACAATTAGAAAGGATGGGTTTATGGGATTGGCAGGTCAGTTGCTGTGTTCTGTCTTCTGAGAGTTTGCCTAGGAGGGGTAGTTAGTGATTGATAGTGCCTCTTTTAGTGAAAAAGATTTGTTCAAGTCCAAATCTTTGATAGATATTTAGGGTTATTTTGGTGCTTGAAGCCAAGTATGACGTTTGAGAGGGAAAGGGATTTAATTACATCTCTACTAACAAGCTGAGTATTTGAAACGGATTTACAAGCTGATCTGTTCTCATATTTACTTATTAACCTTCACTGATGTTGGTTTCATGCTCATTGATTGACTCTTTTCTAAATATATTTTTGTATACTTAGCTACTATGAGTACTATTACTTATTAAGTTTCATGCTCATTTGTTAATTATATTGATATATAATCAATTCTATAATCTGCCAGGTGTTTCTAGATTGGAGGAGATCTAATAAAGAGCAAAAAGTTGGATTGCCTTTGAATAGCAGGAATTTTAAGTGTGGAATCATTGTTTAGGATGCTTTTTATATCTTATAACTAATACAAGTAAATCCATGCTCTCAAGCGTTGCTTCACCACAAGCCATGATTAGAAACCCAATAATTGCAGCCATGAATTACACAAAGAAGAAAGCTGCTGTACTTTACCACTACCCTTGCCCTGATGGCACCTTCGCGGCCCTTGCAGCACACCTTTATTTCTCTGCTACTTCCTCCCCAGTTCAATTTTTTCCAAATACTGTCTACAGTCCTATCAAGGCAGACCAGTTGCCTTTGCAAGAAATCGGTGATGTTTATCTTTTAGATTTTGTTGGACCCTCTGGGTTTGTTGCTGATCTCTCATCCAAGGTGGAGAAAGTGATCATTCTAGACCATCATAAAACTGCACTCCAGACTTTAGGTGGTGAAACCTCATTGGGTGAGAATGTGACGAAGGTGTTAGATATGGAGAGGAGTGGGGCAACAATTGCTTATGATTACTTCAAGCAGAAGCTTAGTGAAGGAAATGGAGGCAGCCATGAGTCCGTGCTTGCTGAGTTCAATAGAATGAGAAAACTTTTCGAGTACATCGAGGATGGAGATCTTTGGAAGTGGCGCCTTGAGAATAGCAAAGCTTTCAGCAGTGGGTTGAAGGACCAGAATTTAGAATTTGATTTTCAGAAAAATCCCTCCGTGTTTCAGCAGTTGCTCTCACTAAACCTTGAATCTGTTATAAATCAAGGTATTATAAGCTTAGACCATAAGCAAAAGTTGATTACTGATGCTCTTGAGCAATCTTTTACAATCAACCTTGGAGGTGGGGTATTTGGGCATTGCCTAGCTGTCATGGCAGATGAAGCTCTTTCAGAATTAAGGAGTGAACTTGGGAATCAGTTGGCTTGTAAGAGCCAAGACCAGAACTTAAGGGGCATCGGAGCTATTGTTTACAAAGTTCCCAAGCTTGGAAATGACCAGATGTTTAAAATCAGTCTTCGGAGTGTCAAAAGTGAAGACACGACTCCTATTTCAGAGAAATATGGTGGTGGTGGACATCGTAATGCTAGTTCATTTCTGCTAAGATTGGCTGATTTTGAAGCATGGAAGATGAACAGTTGATGTTTTCTTTGTTAATTTTGTCAATCAACAAATTTTGTAGATGTTTAGTTGGCAGTGTTAAATACAATTACTCTATCATTTATATTAAAAAAAAAAAAAAATAGAAACTAACTTAGGCATGTTTACTTATGATTTAGATTTTGAAGTCCTACATTTTGTAAGAGAAACCTATAATGTCAGTCTTCTTGAGAAGAGCACAGGCCAGGGTGTGTGCCTGTATTACTTCTCCAATTTTGCCAACTTCAACAAATTCTTTGCCCAGGGGTTTTTTTGTTTCAAGTCGAAGAATTGATTTTCAGGCACAACTTTGTTTGCTTTACTAATGAGAGAGAGAGAGAGAGAGAGAGAGAGAGAGAGAGAGAAGGCAAGTTTGGGTTCAAATTTATGCTCATAACAGGGTTAGAAGACTGAAACGGAGATCCTTCTAGCATGGGGTGAGAATTGAACCTCTCTCACAGTCATAGGGTTAGAAGACTGAGACGAAGATCCTCAACCACTAAGCCAACCTTGATTTTCAATTTTTTCTTTGAATTATGGGAAGCTAATTTGCAAAACTTCTCACATTCAACAATGAAGTTTCATGTACTATATGTCTGACGTCTGTACTCCAGCTTTCCCTAGTCCCAAGCTCAACACTCTGGGAGCTCATCTCACCGACCTTGATTATATAATCAATCAAGCATGATCCATTGCATCAGATGCCAAAAGTCGCAATGATCCATTGCATCAGATGCCAATAGTCGCAAACATAAAAATTTGGAAACATCTCAATATGTCATGAACAATATTTCTCAAAATGTTAGATTATCATTAATCATCAGTGTACTAAATCCTAACCAATTGAACAGTTTACACGGTTTTCACAAAATATGAGCCAATGAAATTACAATACCCACTGTGCTATACATTGTGCAGGAGAGCAATTGATATCGTTCAACTAGTCACTAAAATTGCAGTTTAAAGTAAATACACTGTCATCTACATAGTATGATGAGGAAGTCGCATCTTGCCCCTGAATGCTAACCAGCAAGGGGATTAGCATGTATGGTAACACGGTTGAGCCTAATTTCAGCAAGTGGGCGATCCCCTGGACCTGTTTTCGTCTGCATATGGAGGAAAAAAAAACTTATTAGGGACAGATGTCATTGAAGAATTGCAAAAAGATAACAAGGCAGAGCATCATCATGGCCCTAGAAAGAGGAAAAAAGAAGGAAAAAAAGGGCATTGCAAGACTAAAGATGTAGCCTCGTATGAAGAAACAAGATATAGGAAACTATACAAAAACAACAGTTTCCATGACAAATGATAGCACAAGCAGATATCAAATTCAAGAATCCAACATTACCTTTTCCATAAGATCAAGAACCTCAAAGCCATGGATCACCTTGCCAAACACAGTATACAATCCATTCAAATGAGGCTGCTTAGCATATGTTAAAAAGAATTGGCTTCCATTGGTATTTGGACCACTATTAGCCATCGCCAAGATTCCCCTAGCATTGTGCTGCAAAAGAAAAATACAGAATATTCAATATAGAGGAATTAGTTATAAGGTTCTATTTCTTGTTCTCAATAGTTTGTCATCATTAAGAAAAGAAAAGCAAGACATTTACAGCTTTTTGGCAAATCAGTCTCTGCTTCAATATCACAAACATTAATCGAACAATGGAGTAGCTTCAATACTTAATCACATGAAGTTAATTTACGGAGTAGAACACAATACGCCTTGTCGGTAGGTAAGGTTTAACAAGCCTTACAGCCACATGGAGAATTTTGGCGTCCAAGAGGTTCCAATCAAGCTCATGTATAATGACAAAATTTGAATGAAAGAGAAATGAATTAATGTCCAGATAGAAATCATAAGCTAATATAGTTCATAAAATACCTTAAGAGACTCTCTTATCTCATCATTAAACTTTTTGCCCCATATACTTGTACCACCTTTGCCAGTGCCAGTTGGATCTCCTCCCTGGATCATGAAACCTTTAATGTTTCGATGAAATATGGTCCCATCATAGTACCCACTGGCGCATAGAGCCAAAAAGTTCTGGAAATCAGAAAGGCATTTGGATCATTGGCATGCTTGAACAGTCATATTCGACATGCCAACCTGAATCGTTTCCATTTGGAATGGTCCTTTGAGTACAATAAAACTTAGATTGTCCAAAAGGCATACAAACATGCCCATTTAACTTTCAAGGCTTCACATCTCGAAACACCATCTACAAAACTACAACTTCACAAATAGTTAGCAGTTCTAACTATCCAATCCATAATTTACTTCTATGCTTGGAACCAGTGAAATGTAACCAAATTCCAACAAAACCTTTGTACTGAAAAAGTCCCAAATTTATCTAAACAACAATGCTACCCCAATCTAATTTTATAAACTAATTTTATAAAAGCGTTAAACCCTAAAGCAACCTTGTAAACTACCCAAGTCGTCACCGTTCAAATTACACTATCAACGCGGCCATTAAATACGGCCAAAAGGAGTATAACAATAAAATCATTTCAATTAATAAAAAAACAATTCAGCTCAAACATAGAAATTTCAATCCCTTGTACAATAATTCCATCAAATTAGATTAATTAACATGAAATAATTGTTCCCAGTAAAACTAAGACATGCCAAATTAAAAAAAAAATAAAAAATAATAATAATAATTAAAAAAAAAATCAACGAATTCTTGGAGTAAAATTATATACCTCAGCAGCTTTTGGAACTTCATCACAAAAGATTTCGCATTTTATGTCGCCGAGATTAGTGTGAAGTGTCACAGACTGCCAGCAACAATACAAAAAACCAATTTAAATGCCGAAAACAAAAGCGTTAATTTTAAGCGACGCAGAAAAATCGACGAAATTCATGAGTACAGAAAAAGAAACATACCATTTTAATGTTAGGAGAGAGAGAGAAGAAGAAGAAACTCAACTTTTTGATGCTTGCGTTTTTTAAGAATGCGAGATTAATCGACGCTTTTCGTTGATGGAAATGGGTTTCTCGCCGACTTTAGAAGCCCTTAGTTTAGGGGGACAGGCCCAACTGGTTTGATAGGGTTTGGCCCAACCCATTAATTGCTAAATGTCAACTCTTTGAATGACAAAACAAATATAGGTGTTAAAAAGAATTTTAAAAAAAATAAAAAATGTTGGATTAGTCCTGATGTATACTTTTGTAAAATAACTTATGTAAATTTTTTAACTAATATCACATTAAAGATATTGATGTTCAAAGTTGTGTCTCGTCAAATATACAGATTAAACTAAAGTGATGCATTTAAAATAATAGAGGAATTATTAAAAATCAACTTATTTGATTCAATAGCTATTCCGTTTATTATGATAATGAAATGAGATCTAACTCAAGTCTTCAACTATTTGCTTTTGGATTTGTATGGTCAAATTGCTATAGATACAGTGTATGGCTTTGTTATAATTGAGACAAAAAAAATGGTGTACTCTCAACCTTCTTATATACTACCTCCGTATTTTTTAGTTGACACGTTTTGACTTTGTGCGCTATTCACATAACCTACCTTGACTTCGTTTTGTGATTAAGTTTTAGATAAATACATAGTCATGTGGGATCTTGTTAAATTTATCTCAATGTCTACTCTCCAAATATCAAGATTTCATAATTTTTGCTAATACATAACTAATGATATGTACATTTAAAAGTATATGTTGGAAAACGTGCCTAAGTGAAATGTGTTAACTAATTAAAAAAAAAAGTAAGTATGTAGTATTCCATATCAATCACACGAAAATTGAATAGTTGTTTTTAAACCACTCGCTATTAGATCAACCAAATGTTAACACATGTCCATATTCGCTATAGTTAACACATGCCCAAATCCACACTCATTGACACATGCTTCAATCCATCTTAAAGTAAAAAAGTTTTTTTTATGAATAATTTTTAATCAACAAAATTAGCAATATGATAACACTAGTGTATAAGTAAAAATCAATTTTAAACTTTTAATTCAATCAATAATAAATACAATACGACAAGACTCAATTAATCATCTATTCATATGTGGATCATATGTGATCACTCGGTACACACATTTATACATTTAAAAAAAAAAATTGCCACTTCCCTACAAAAGAAACCTGAGGAGGGGGGGGGAGGGGGAAGATAAATCTTGTACTACTACATATTATTGTCTCCGTTTTTTTAGTTGACACGCTTTAATTTTAACACTATATACACACTTTTTTTTGCCCATGTTTTATGATACATACATAATAAAGGTGATAAAAAATCGATCCGGGTCGACTTAACATGATTCCTTGTGCTGAAACCCACAAAAAAGTACCGCGCTTATCGGGCCAAAGAGGGCTTTTTCGGGTCAGGTTCGGGTAGCCTTGTCCAAACCCGCCCTATGTTCGGGCCGGATTGGGCCAGGCCAATATTGATCACCTTTAATACATAATGAAAATTATAGTCATTTGGAACATTACTGGATTCATTATGACATATATTTTCAAAATACAATATCAACTTTTTATTATTTTTGATTATAGATATTAATTGAATTTATGTAAGGTAAATGTTATTTAAAATAGATAAATATGTATTAGTAAACATGATTTAAAAAACGTGTTAACTAAAAAAAGGAAAGTATATTTGCATTGAGTTTGACGTGAATGACATCACCGCTGGCTAACTAATTACAGTTATTTAGTCTTTCTAAAACTCTATCAGAGTAACAAGTCCTCTCTTCGATCGCTTAATTATAAGAAGCAATGCAAGATAAACTAAACTATGAAGTTTCTCCCCCAAATTCCGCAAAGATGGAGGTAATCAACGCTGATTACCAGATACTTCAAAACGACTGCGTTCAGTACGACGAAGAATCTCCTTCGTTGTTACCAATTAATCATGAATTTGAACATAATAATCGTGTTGTTAATCGAAGGTGGTTAAATATGCCATTAACATGGTTGATGATTGTTCTGGGTACTGTAATTGCAATTTCTGCAATTGTAATCATCAAACGCTTTGCCCCATCTTTCGCGAAGAAGGTCCTTTTTCTCTCTCATATGATATTTGTGATTTTTAGGGTTGATTGTGAATTTGATTTTCTTGATTTTTTTTGGTTTTCTAGGGTTATATTTTGAAATTGTATAAGGGTTATTAAGATTATTGGAGATTAATTGTTTGAGTGTTTGACTATGATGGGTAGGTTTTGTTTAGTGCAGGAAGATTATTTTAGGAAATTGACAACTGCCCACATTCCAATTTTGGAAATGGTAGGTGTTAAAAAAAATGTGACATTCCGAAATTGGAAAGGAAGAAAAATCTTGTTTGCAAGTTTTATTTTTGATGGAATTGTTGCAATATCGCACAATTCTCCACCCATGACATGCGCGAGCATAAGGGAGGAGAATGCAGATACACCCGACTGTAGAATGGACCATTGGACCCTCTAAGCTATTAACGAATGGTAATGTTGTACAAGAATATCAGGAGACTCGGTCTTCATAAGAAATATTATACTCCTTGAGTTATGACATATTGTTGAATGTTGTAAAAGTATATGATAGCTACACTTGCAATTAACTGTGAAATAGCTATAGTTGCAATTAATTGTGATATAGCTACACTTGCAATAAATTGCGATTAGTTACGCTTGCAAATTTTGTCACATGGGATATGAACTTATGTCTACTCAAATGTTTTAGCTGTTAAACTGGATGCTTAAGCTTAACTAGATTGTCATTTGTCTTTTCGTAGGAGGTTATTCCTGTAGTACTCTGGCTGATACAAACTTGCAGTCCGCCCGTGCTTGCAGCTATCTTGTTTGCTGCAATAGCCTTGTGTCCGCTTCTGCTTTTGCCGACTGTGCAGTTTAAGTGGATTGTTGGAATGACTTTTGGTTATGGAATTGGCTTCTTGCTGATCATGGCTGCAGTAACTGTTGCTGTTTCTTTGCCTTATTTCATAGCTTACTATCTGTTTCTTCACAAGATCGAAGTAAGCAAGCATTTCCCGTGTTTTCTGACAGTGATTTATTCGATTCCAACTTTTATCTTGAGAGGAAATTTCTAATTCGGCTTATCTAACTATTGCTTGCTGTTTGTTGCTTATTGTATTGACGTCAGAAATGGTTGATTGATCATCCTGAAAAAGCTGCCTTTGTTAAATTTGCTGGTGAAGGCGATTGGTCTCATCAGTTTCGATTTGTTGCTCTGCTAAGACTTTCTCCATTCCCATATGTGGTGTTCAACTATGTTGCTGTTGTTACCGGTGTTAAGTATAGTTCTTACCTGGTGGGAACCCTGATAGGGATGGTGCCTGAGGTACTTCTGGCCATGTACAGGTTAGTTTTTGCATTATGATTTTGAAAAATCTCTGGTTAATTCCAATGAACTACGTTCTTTCAAGCTGATTTTCTGGTCTCACCCTGTCAAGTATACTTCTTGATGCTAAACATATCTGCCTTCTAGAGTCCTAGTAATTTGTGTTGATGAATTAGGTATTAAGGATATAATGGAGGGTGTTCTGTTTCTGATATTGGCTTACTGCTTTTTTAAAGGCTGAAGCTGATTGAAGCCACCAAGTGTACTTTTATTTTCATTTTGTGTATACAAGTACTTTATTATACTTTCTGGTCTTATAGCATCAGATGAATTTCATCAGTTTAATTCCTTAACTGTGACTCTGTCTATCACAGGAATGTGATCCAAGGATTTGTATGATTTGCAATGCTACATGGTTTGAAGTATAACATGTGTACTGAAACTGGAAAGCTTAAATTGACAAAAATTCTTAACACTCACTGTGTAATTATTGTACTCATACTATGATAGTATGATTTTAACTCGATATTGAATTCGTGCTGAATTTCTTCAGTGGGCTTGAGAACATATTGTTATCCTGATCCGTACACTTGTAGTGAACCTTAAAAACTAAACAGATTTTGATGAATCTGTTCCATTTACATTTACAACTAAATGGCTTATAGACAAGTCTCATGTAGGTTGTTGGGGAGGGGGGGGGGGAATTCGGGAAAATGCCATGAGCAATCGATGAAGTGTCTCATGCTATTTATTGCTGTGAAATAGTAAAATGTTTTCAATTTTATTTCATTAATCTGAAATTATCTCATACAAGATTTTGCAATTTGTCACACTTGTTGACATTATTGTTCTTCTCCTTGGTAGTGGAAAACTGTTTCGCACTGTGGCACAAGCAATGGAGGAGCATACTCATGTTTCAAAATACCATTTGATTTTTGATGGCATAGGCTTCTGTTTATCTGCGGTATCCACCATCGCCATTGGGTTTTATGCAAAACGGAGGCTGAAACAACTTCAAGAGGTAGAGGAGCAACAACAATTGAGGTAGCAGATCTTCCTCCAAAGACTTGCACACTTCTTCCACGTTGAATTCGATAAAATTAAGTAAGAGATAATGCCCAAGTTTTGGATATTTTTCAAAATGTAAATATTTATACATCTAGTGTAAATGAAGAATTTTTGAGATGTGCAGTGAGATATCAAATAGTTACTCTTTCATTTAGCTACAAAGTTATGATTGAAGGAATTGTGATGAATTTATACATAATTTGTAATTTCGCACATTTATTGGAATTTTTAATAATTATTTTACTAATTAATTAATATAATTAAACAGCATTTTAGTATAATTGCTTTTGAATGGAATTGGCACAAAATCTATATTTGAATTTTGATGTCAAGAATACTATAGTACAACGCTAATTATTTTCGAATTTTCCATAATTAGAAAGATTAATAAGATCTTGTCATGGGTTATTGGGTTGCATAGGATGATAGGAATCAAAGTAATCAAAGTCTACTACTCTGTACCAAACAATCAAATGTAATATACTTCGTAGTACTCATTTTTCACTTATTCTTTAACCAATTTCGAATTGATGATAAGAAGTTGATTATTCATTTTAATGTGCAATTTAAAGTCATGTTAAATTCAACTTAATTATTGAAGGTCAAATTAGATCGTTTTAAGCTTTGAGGTGATACTGTGGTAACTTACATTGGAAAAATGGGAAAAATTATTTTCCATAAATATTTTAAGGGGTAACTTGATTTCGAGATCAGATTAGTTCAATTTAAGTCCAATAAAAATCAAAATTTAGACCGAATACATTAGGTTGAGGGAGTATCAGATGAGTCAATTTTGTCCGGTCTGCCCTCGCAAAAGTCCCAACGCAAGTAAGTTCAAAAACTTCCAAGCCAATAAGCCTAATCGAGAGCGAAACCAAACACCAACCATGGCTACCACCGGCGGCAGCCAACAACCCGATAAACGGCCGCAATCAATCTTTGAACTCCCTGAAAATTTCTTCGACTGTTGCTGTCTTCTTCCTCCCGCCAAACTCCTCCATCATCATCCTCCCTCTTCATCCACCCCTTTCGTCGAACCTGCCCTAACTTTGAAACAGCAATTGCAGGAAGAAATTCCAGAAGATGATGAAATTTTGAATGATACTTCTAATTTTAGTAATAATAGTATGAATACATGGTCCTGCAATATTTGCAAGTCTGAATTCGACTCTCTTCTTGACCAGCGCTCTCACTTCAAGTCCGACCTTCATCGTTTCAATGTAATTATCCTTTTTCTTTTATTCAATTTTTGTTTTTTATTTTAATAATTATGTTATTGATTATGTGAAATTTGATAATGTTTGTTGTAGTATTTGATTGAGTTTGTACTTTTGTTGGGTTATAATAACCATTTTTATGTTGAATTTGTATATGTTAATTGAACTTACTCGCTTTGTCTGGAATCGATACTTATGTCGGAGAATTAATAGTCCCGTTGATAGTGTAATGTGGGGCAACTGATCCGGGAGTGGAAAAACAGTTAAATACTTCCTAAGAGATTTGTAGGTGGAGAAATAGTTTGATTATCTCGAAATATATAATCAAAGAAGAGTTTTATGAAGAAATTTGATGGCAAAATGTCTTATATTAGTGGAATGACAATTTTGTTTTTGTAAATTTTAGAAAGATTACCTTTTGTTGGGATTATCAATTTCTGCATGATGTAAACCAGTAGAAGAGAGCAGCATTGAGTATTGGCGTTTGGTAATATGTAACGAATTTATGATTTTAAGATTGCTAAAGTATGTAATGGGGTATTGAATGTTTTTCTTCATCTGAAATTATGGGAAGCAAATATTTTAGGAAGAATATATTTTGGTTTTTAACAACAATAGGGAGACTGAAAAGGAAGGGGTATGTGGGTGAGGATCCTATTACTTGATCGTAGTGTCATTGATTATTTGTTCAATATTCATTTTTAGGTAAAATTAAACCTAGCGGGAAAAGTTGTTTTGAATGAGGATGACTTTGATGAGTTAGCTTCAGACTCCTTTTCTAAAGACTTTGATGTTTCAAGTATATCGGGATCAGAAGATGAAGATGAAAGAGGATCTCGTGCTAAGAATTATACAAGGGACATGTCGGTTCAAAGTATTAAGCAGAAACTATGTGTCCATCTTCAGTCAGGAGAAAAAGTCTCAATATGGAAGTGCTTTCTTTTGAAAGATAACGAGGATGTCTCCTATGAGAACAATCAGTTAGTGGTTGTGGATGACAGTGGACGTGTTCCTGATTTGAAAGTAATAGAGAAGTTGAAATCTTTGACTCACGAGCCAAGAGATAATACTCACTTGAGGATTGTATTGCTGGCCAGTGGCGGACATTTTGCTGGTTGCGTCTTTGATGGCAACACTGTTATTACTTACAAGACGTTCCACAGGTACCTTGCCCTATTATAAAAATAACTTTTGCTGCTACTACTTGTCTCTCCTTTCTAATCTAATGCAGTTCTATTGATTTCAATGTATGGGTCTGTTGAACTTGATGTAACTATCAAAGATGCCAACTTTAAGCCGTTAAGATTGCATAGAAGAAGGCAAAATTCAATTTTTAGATTTTTTAAATTTTATTTCACGCCTCTTTTTCCTGGCTCTCCCCTAGTTATTCTCTGTAATGGATGTTTTTAATTGTGCATTCATAATATAGTGTATTAGATTTTATCTTATATGCTAAACCTGATTTGTGTCACTGTTGTCTCTATTCTTCAGGTAGAAGTTTAGCTGTAAACTGTACTGCATGATGTATATATTCTGTTTTTCTTATTGCTAGATTAGATGTTTATTGTGACTTTTTCTTTCCTTTTGCTATATAATTGGTGCCTTTTGTATTAGATATGTTGTGAGGGCCAAGGCTGGTAAAAGACAGTCAACCAAAGATGCAAGTGGCAGATCTATACATTCTGCTGGAGCGTCACTTCGCCGCTATAATGAGCTTGCTTTGAAGAAGGTATTGTCCTAATGACTGGTTATTGCTGTGCTGTACATGAACATGATGCATTTTGCAATATTTTGATTGTTTGAACATCGCGCAAGATGATTTGTAATCTTAGTATATATCATAATATCATACCCTGCATATGCAATTGAATGGAAGAAGTTGGTGCAACTTGACTATATTCATACATGCCTAGAATTTTGCTTTGTAAATGAGAATCCACTCGCTGGTTTGCTTGTGACTTGAGCAGGACATGCAAAGTTAAGGACATAACTTTTTACCACAAATCCTGGTGCACTTGCTTTGTGAATTTCTTTCCCCTACAGAATTTCCTTAAATAATTTTGGCCATTTCCTTGTATTCTTTTGTATGCATATTCAGTTGAGCACTGACTGTTTTTCCAAGATAAAAAAAATTTCCTCAATCCTTTACAGAGAGGTAGTCTACAGAATTGTCTGAGTTATTCATGGGCGAGTTTAACTTCATGTAAATTTCTCCCTATATGAAGTAATCTACTTCAGGCTGTTCCCTAATGCCTTATAAATGATTTTTCAAGTTTAGTCAAACTACTCATTAGTGCTAACCTTTTTTCAAATGTAAACTAGAACTACCTAACGTTTTGGACGGCTCAGTTTTAGGTAGCCCAGCAGTTATGTGCTGAATAGCAGGAGATTCACAAGACTATGCAATTTCTTAATGTAAAAGTAAGACCAATCTCAACTTCAAGCAAGGCATTCAGTCCTGACTTTATTAAACAATGGCTCAAGGCCAAGTCTGTTTCGCGTTGAGGCTTCCTAACATAAATGAAAGAAATTTTTGCAAGTGATGTTGTTTAGATTAACCATATATTTTTAATTTATTTTTTCAAGAAAAGTGAGGATTTAATTAATTTCGTAAGCAGAAGTTGCATTTGTTCTGATTTTGGCTGTTCTATATAGCTTTCTCATCAAGTTATACTTGATCAATCTTTGCTTCTCTGACGGAAATTAAATAGATGTTGCTTATCCTCTTCTTTTTTCCAAATGAGTTGAGGTTTTTAACCATGATGTCATAGTGGCTGACACTCTTATTTTGTTCAGGATATTCAAGAGTTGCTTGCTTCTTGGAAGCCTTATTTTGATGCATCTTCTTGTGTTTTCATCTATGCACCTTCAAGCAACCGCCAAATGTTCTATAATGGTGAGGGCCCACTTTTCAGCAACCAACAGTGTGATGCTAGGAATATTCCTTTTAGTGTTCGGCGGCCTACCTTGAAGGAAGCACGACGGATATATAACCAGTTGAGCCTAGTTGTTTATGAAAACGAGGAAGTGCTTCCTGATATAAATAAGATTGAATTAAATGTAAGCTGCGTAAGCGATGCAAACATATTGAAGGGTGCCGAAAGGAGTGAAGTAAAAGTGAGTAAGGAGGATGAAGTTTCTGGAAGTGGCAAAGTTACTGATGAACAATCCTCCTCAGAAGAAGGTGATAAAGAAATCGGACGTACTACAACTCCATTACATGAAGCAGCAAAATCTGATAATCCTGAAAAGGTTTTGGAACTTCTAGAGCAGGGTTTAGATCCTACTGTTAAAGATGAAAGAGGGAAAACACCCTACATGGTGGCTACTGATAAGGAAGTCAGAAATACTTTCAGACGCTTTATGGCTTCAAATCTTGAAAAGTGGGATTGGCATGCTGCTAATGTTCCTAGTGCGTTGACTAAAGAGATGGAGGAGTCTCAGGCTGCAAAGCAGGTACTGATCTTCAAATATTTAGTCACCAAGCTCTGTAGTACTTGTGATTGCATTCTTTTTCTATAAAGGGATGCATTTTGGCTTGACTAGTCTGATGCATTGTTGTCATCTTCTTTGGTCTTTTCCCTTTCGTATATCATTTTTAAGCTGTAATTCTCAGTTCTTTTGGTGATTTATGTTAATCTTTTCTTTTTGATGCATGTTTTCTTGATGTATGACATGGTTTATTATTACCAATTTTGATCCGGCCATCAATGCGTAGGCTGAAAAAGATGCTAAACGGAAAGCAAAAGCAAAGGAATTGAAGAAACAGCGGAAAGCAAGGGAAAGGGAAAAGAAAGTTGAGGTAATTCTTTTCTCGATTTGACATGTGCTGTATCAACTCCTCTATTCCACTGTGCTATCAATCCTACTTGCCAGCTGCGGGATCTGGTGTTGTGTTGTTATAGGAGATGCACATTTTTCACATTGTAGGACTATTAGCACGTAGAATTTCTTGTCAATGTGACGGCCCTATTAGTTACCGGCATTGTGTATCCTTCTCTAACATTGTAGTTTATCCATGAAGGTCAAGGCTGCAGAATCCCAGAAGATTGCAACGGCCACAGAGAACAAAAGTGCTGCTTCTCCTTCAGTTAGAACAGTCCAATCTGTGATTGCAGCTAGATTGTCCAAAGAGGTATACATTCATGAATTGCATAGCATATTGGCATTCATAATTATCATGATTTTTAAGTGGAATTTTTGTTCTACTGCCCCGTGGCTTTTGCAATTCTGAATTTCTGACTTATATTTTCCTTCTACTTAGGAGGAACCAAATTACTGCCTCGGGGCTTTTGCTATTCTGACTTGTATTTTCCTTCTACTTAGGAGGAACTAAAGAGGAAACAATCCGAGGAGAGAGAAAAGAGAGCTGCTGCGGCTGAAAGAAGACTTGCCTTGGCTGCTGCGGCCGCTGCTAATGCTCAAGGGGCTAGCAACACCGCTACTGCAAGCTCCTCCCAACCAAAAACCAACGTTGGCAGTACTGACACAGTTTGCTCCTGTTGTAATGCATCATTGGTGGGTAAAGTTCCTTTCCACCGGTATAACTACAAATACTGTAGCACGACATGCATGCAAGTTCACAGAGAATTTCTTGAAGATGGTTAACAAAATGGTTAGAGTTTCACCCAGTGCTTTTTTACTGTAGAAATTTAAATTTATATTGTTCATTATTATGTTAATGGCTTTAGTTTAATGCTGTATTACAAATAAACAATCATATCAATAACAGTTATACTACATTTTTTTGAGAAAGATTTATCATGGAAAAGATCTGTCTTGTTGGCATTTTGTTACAGTAAAGACACACTAAACTCTGACCTTTCTGATTGGAATACAGTACATTAACGGAAATTTAAGACAAGGATGTATTAATACATTACAAAAAGAAAGAAAAAGAAAGAAAGAATTAAACATAAGAAAACAAATGATGCTGATTGTAATGAAGTTGAAATGTTTGGTTGATGGCAAATCTAGTTCTCTTCTTTTGTCACCGGCAGGCGACAATCCGAGGCTACTCGTGAAATTTGCTTCTCATGCTCAACGGTCCCCATCGGCCCTCCCTTCACATCATTGATATTATAGTTCATCTTTCCCTTTCTTTTTGCTGTTATTGGAGGATCTACCATTCTACCTTACACGACTGTGTAGCATATACCATAGTTTCTAGAATTTTCGGTAATCATCTATAAGGTTTACAAAATAAAAAGTCCAAATCAGTTTTGACTGTTAATTTCTGTGAAAATATTTCGTTATTATTATGTCTTATTTTTTAAATTTGCGATACTGTTGGAGCTATTGGTGTTCTTTTGAAAGGAAGAAAGATATGGGATGAGTGAAAAAATAAAGACTAGCTAAATACGCCATCAAAATTGGTCAAACCGCATCATTTCAAGCAAATAGACTTTCTTACCCTTACTAAATTTTTTGCCATTTTCTTTCTCTAACATTAGTCCATCAACCACAACCAATCACGACACCGGTATGACACACGCCACCACGTCGATCACCACTACCCACAACCACCGTGTCAACCACCACCTTCTACACCAACGGCGAAAGTCGACGAGAAATAGATGGTGATCGAGGTGGCTCGTTGGAAAACGAACCGAAAACGCCACCGTCGGCTTTTCAGCATGTATGACAATTTTCCGGTGGTTTAGAAATATTGGGCAGAGAAACCGCCGGCTGACGATGGTCAATCGGAGCCAAAAACTGGTTAACCATTACGGTAACCGGTTTTGGGCTCCGGTTACCGTCCACGACAAACGATTTTGGCCTCCGATTATCGTGCATAACTGGAGCTGAAAATCGGTTACTGTGGACTATAACCGGTTTTGACCTCCAGTTGACCAGCCACCGATTGTATAAAAAAAAAAACAAGATTCAGAAAAAAAAAAAAAAAAAAAAAAACAAAAACCGAAAAACTTACCTCCTTTCCACCCATTCCGCCGCCCCTTGACACTTGCCTGACTGACTGTCTGACTCTGCGCCGCCGCCTTCCTCCGCCACCAACAGGCTGATAACCTTTTCTATGTGGTTGTGGTGGTTGTGTGGAAAAAGGTTGGTGGTTGAGGTGTTTGAGGAGAGAGAGAAAAAAAAAAGGATAAAAAATGGGTTAGGGTTTAGTAAGGGAAAGATTGACAGTTTGCTGGAAATGATGGTAATTTTGATAAATTTGAATGGCGGTATTTAACACCCCCTAAAAAATATTGGGCATCTTTAAGGGACGAAGAGAGTGTACAACTACCATCCCAAATCCCAATACCATGAGGACTAGTTTTACATTTACTATCAAAGTGGTTTAGAAAGTGAGACATGCAAGATATTGAGATTGTTGTACATGTATTTAAGAGCAACAGACCATCAATTTCTACTGTGACAGAGTTGGTCCTATGGTATTTGTTAATTTTATAGTATAGTACTTACTGTCTATGAACTGGTGATAGGCATAGGCTGTTGGAATGATCTTATAAATTAAGTACCAAATTAGTTGCCATGATCATAGTGTTTATTCCCACGAGTGTTAATATATTTTGGAATATTTTTGGTGCCTTTTCTTTTTCTCTCTTTTTTATTTTTTTTTTTGAAGACTTTTTTATCTGTCATTGCTCTATTTTACTTATTCTAAAACAAAAGGTATTTATAAAATATAAAATATTACTATACTAATAATAATTTTAGCAGATTAATAAAGATTGGTATTATTCCATGACCACCAGACAGACCAAAGAGCAAAAGGCCAAAGATTTAGCTAAGTGACTTACATTTTAAGGGTCGGACAAGTTTTAATTATTTATAGGGCAACCTATTGTACTGTATTTGTTTCTTTAATGCATTACTTTTCTAGTTCATTCTCAAAGAGGAGTGTTTAAGGGGTTGAAAGTAGATTCTTTTTTTGTTTTTATGTCTCATTATTACATTATCATGATGCAAATAGATTATCTTCAAGTGTAAGAAAAAATTGCAATAATGCAACTCTTCCTTGCAGTTTGTATTTGCAAACGTGTGATGAATTTGAAGTCATTTGTTAAACAAAATTTATTTGAAAGCGTACATTATTTAGAGTTTTTTCTTACAAATAAAGTAATTTTAAAATTTAAACTAAAAGAAGCTTAATCCATTCCTTATTTTCATTAATCGACAAACAACAATATAGTGATCCGTAGTAAACTGTGATAGTTCAATGTGGGATTTAGAGCTGTATGGAAATCGATTGAAGTTATAGGTTACATTACACATTGTATGTATAATTACAGCAACAAAAATATGTCATAAAAGACACGAGTATTTTTTTATTTCAGATTAAAAGTTTTACAAGGTAACTTTATTCAGCAATTGCTATTTATTTACTCAATTTAATCCTATTGCATTGTTTCGGATGATTTACAAAAATATAGCTTTTAAAAAACTTATTTACAATTTTGTTTTGGAATGAAACTTATTTACGAAAATACAATCCACGTAGGCTTGAGGTAGCGGTTTTACTCTGAAAGAGGGGAAAAAAAAAAAAAAAAACCCTTTCCGAGCCTACGTGGACAGTAGTTTTGTAATTAAGTTTCATTCCGACGCAAAAATGTAAATATGTTTTCAAGTGACCATACTATTGTAAATCATCCTATGAAAATACAATCCACGTAGACTTGGTAATACATTTGTTTCGGGGTTTTCTGATGTCCTGCGGGAGAGTTACAATTTCGAGGCTGGAACCGGACGCCTGTACCTGCAAAACAAACGGAGACTCCGGGTGGTTGGAGCTCCGCCTCCGACGGTCAAGTTAGTACGTACTTGTTTAAGGAGTAATTAATGCGGAAAAAGGTCAAATGTTTTCTCTAGGTGAGAGTGATTAATGAACGTAATCCCCCTTAATGAGGATTAATAATCATATTTATATGCCTTGGGATGCGTGACAAATCCTAAGTTTAGGGTAAACCTAAGGCTGACTAGGCTTTTTCCAAGGATTGGGCCTAGGTGGCCGGTTTTCCCATGTGTCATGGGGAGGACACGTGTCGTGTCGTAAATGGTCCATGGTGGACGAATCAATGACTGACGCGTGTCAGGCTCCTATTGGCCCATGTGACGGACACATGGCGGAACCTGATTGGTCCACTTGTCTGATGGTGAATGGTGGGAAAAATCCCCTAATCAACATTTGCGGTAATTTTTTCTTAAGAGACAAACCGCTATCTTAAGTAGAGGTTATAGTCTAAAACCGCTAATTAAGGGTTCGTTTGGCATTGCTGTGGTTTTCTGTTTTTTGGTTTTTTGTTTTACAAAACCATATGATATATGGCAAATAATGAATAAAAAAAGAGTTTAACTAATTTAAATCCTAATAATTTTGAAAACTGACAATTGAAAAGTGGAAACAACTTTTTCTTGTTTCCTATTTTTGGTTTTTGGTTTTTTGTTTTAAAAAAAAAACAGAAAATTGAAAATAAAAAACGATGCTATAGGTAGCGGTTTGTCTTTAGTACTCCAAGTAAAGATACGGAGTTGCAATTCAAAAAGGGTAAAACCGCTACCTCAAGTAGTGGTTTTAGTACATAAACCACTACTTGAGGTAACGGTTTTACTTTGAAAATAAATAAATAAATAAATAAATTAACTTATTCGAGCTTACGTGGACAGTAATTCTGTAATTAAGTTTCATGTCGACGTAAAAATGTAAATAAGTTTTCAAGTGAACATACTTTTGTAAATCATCCATTGTTTCTGCTAAAGATGAAAATCCATATTTTCTGCAACACAGTCATGTAATACTTCGATGGAATAAAATCATGATTCATGAACATTTATAGAAAACGAGATAATTGGTTGATGGAAGGGCATTGATAATAAGTGCTTGCCAGCCCTATTTCCTTATATGCTGAATGATTTGATCACAGAGTAAGCAATAAGATGGGATATTGGGATATATTGTGCTGTTCCTGCCTAAAAGGTTGCCGCTTTTTTTTTTTTTTTTTTTTTCCTTCCTTCCTTTTTTATTGATTTATTTGAACTTATTTTATACTAATAAATCTAAATGATAAAAGTCCGGGTGAAATAAGTTTTGATGAATTCAAAGTATAGGCAAAATAAGTTTTGTACAGTTCGGATAAAATAAGTAATAATATGACTGTTGATAGCTTAATTTGAAGTAATCGTGTATTAAAAATACAAACAAAAGTAGTATTTTATGGAGAAAAAGGGCTTATCATATATTCAAACATACTATATAAATTGTTAAAATAAGTAATTGTATATCTATAAAACCCAAACAAATGGCATGCTATAATCCAAACGAGCATTATTTGGAAATATATTAACTCTTCCTCTTTACAATCCCATTCAATCTAATGTTAAAATTACTATATAAACAATAATCACATTTAAGCCAATATTTAATCGTTAGGATTTATATAGAATGATCTAATTACACTTAAAAGTTTATGCATTGTGCATTACTATGAATCTGCCAGTGGACCTCCAGACATCAATTAGAACATTCAATTATCCTAATTTGATTGGATTTTTTAAAATGGTATTTATCAAAATTTATAATAAAAACACGAGTGGATTAGTATAATCAATGCTTATTTATTTTTAATATTATAATTTCTTTTCTAGTTTTTTATGTGAAGCTCTTTATAGTTTTCCTTAACAATATTTAAGTCCACATTAAAAGAATGTCGATTTTTCAATATTTACGTCCACATTAAAAGAATGTCGATTTTCCAAGACAATTATCATCGCTCATTAGACAAAATTTCTCATTACATACAATCAAAATTGAATACTATATTGTCTTAGAAAAATTATCACCAATAAAATATCCATAGCAATAGCCACCTATGGCAAATATGCATAAAAATGATTCATATTTGCTGGCTTGGTGTTGACACCACATTTGTCCATTTTCTCACTATTATTGAGGGCCACCCAAATTCACATCATTTTTAGTAGCATATACTTTCCACACTTTATTTCCTTCTTCAACAATTTTCCCACTTACAAACTTTTCAATTCAAACCTAAAAACACATAACAGCTAGTTTTATATCCCATCTTAATGATCATGATTCCTACCTTACCCACATTTAGAAATTAAATCATATCCATCCCTATTTCACCCCTTTTTCTTTTTGCAACTTGCACTAAATATATTTTTCTTTAATTCCCTTAATTTAATAAAATTATTACAATTAGCATTTTTGACCGTTACTAAAATCAAACCCAAGGTCAATTTAGTCATTTCACACACTCCTACCCTC